CACTACTCACTACGCACTACTCACTACTCAGTACTCACTACTCCCTACTCGCTACGCAGTACTCGCTACTCACTACTGCCTACACACTACTCACTACTCACTACTCCCTACCCACTGCTCGCTTCTCACCACTCTCTACTCGCTAATCCCACTACTCACTACTCACCACTCACTACTCACTACGCACTACTAACTACTCACTGTTCACTACTCACTACTCACTACTCCCGACTCACTACGCTCTACTCTCTGCTCACTACTCACTACTCAGTACTCACTACTCACTGTCCACTACGCATTACGCACTACTCTTTTCTCACTACTCACTACTCGCTACGCACTACCCACTACTCACTACCAACCACAGACTACTCACTACCCACTACTCACTGCTCACTACTCAATACTCCCTAATTACTCTCTACTCGTATTCGCTACTCACTATTCATTATTCACTACTTATTACTCACTACTACTCATTATTCACTACTCACAACTCACTTCTCGCTACTCCCTATTCGCTACCCAGTACCCACTATTCCCTACTCCGTACTCCCTACCCCTTCTCCGGCGCAGAAAAAAGCAGCGGGAGAGGCCCCCCTCCCCGGCTCTCTGTCCGCCGCAAACGGGAGGAAGGGGGGGGGGTTCGAACTCTCCCCCCCCCCCTTTCCAGCGCCACAGGGGTGGCGGTCCGGACGCCCCCCCCCGTCTCCTTCAAGGGAGGGGGGTGGGATGGGGGAGGGGTCGAAAATCTCACCCCCCTTTTGAGGGGGGGAGGGGTCCAACCCCCCCTTTTTTAATGGCAATATATATATATATATATATATATGTTTTCGGGGCGCTCGATTTTGAAATCCGTACGGCACTGAATGTTTTGGAAAATTTCGGCATGCGCGCGCGACGACGCGCGCCCGTGCACATCGTCCCATTTTTTGTAACCGGTTCTAGGAACAAATCTTTGCAAATGAAGAAGTGTGCCCGCATGGTATCTGTTGTGTAGGACCTGATGGTGGAGTAGGTTAGGGTGGGGGGGCCGAACCCCGTTTGGCTAGGTTCATATTAACTCATGTTTAGACTGAGCAGTGAAGGAGAATCATGCGTAAATTGCACATGCCCAGGGGGGGGGCGGATAATCTGGGGGGTGGGGATCCTACGCAATTCTTTCGTAGAAGATAGAATATATGCGGTGCGATCTACGTGGCGCATTCTATGGTATGCGATCTCTGTGGTGCGATCTATGCGGAGCGATCTATGTTGTGCAATGAATGTTTTGCAATCTATGTTGTGCAATCTCTGTGGTGCAATCTATGTGGTGCAACTGATTTTAACAAACGAATTGAGACATCCCCCACTCTTGCAAACATCCCACCCCACCCACCCGCAACTTGGTTTGCAAAATTTCTTAAGACCGTGACGGTGGGTACCAAATGGCACTTGGCAAGGACAGCGACGCCGACAACGACAGCGACAACGACGACGACGCCGCCGACAACGACTACGACGACGACGACGATGTCTCCAACGACTTCGACGACGCCGACAACGACGACGACAACGACGACTCCGACGACGACGACGACGCCGACGTCGACGACGACGACGATGACGATGACAACGACGAAGACGACGCCGACGACGACGACATCGACGACAACGACGACGACGACGTCAACGACGACGACGACGACGACGACGCCGACGTCGACGACGACGAACACGACGACGCCGACGCCGACGACGACGACGAACGACGACGACGACGTCGCCAACGCAGACGACGACGAGGGAGGAGGGAGAACGACAGCCTGCGACAACGACAACGACGACAACGACGAGGGAGGAGGGAGACGGCGACGACGCGAACGACGAAGGAGGAGGAAGGACGGCGACGCCGACGACGACTACGACGAGGGAGGAGGGAAGACGACGACAACGACGACGACGAAGACGACGACGGCGATGAAATAGGAGAGACGACGACGAGACGCCGACGACGGACGACGACGACGACGACGAGGGAGGAGGAGGAAGGACGACCACGGCGACAACGACGACGGAAACGACCACGACGCCAAAAATGACGACGACGACGAACACGAGGAAAGACAGAGGACGACGTAGGCGACAACGACGACGACGACGACGACGACGCGGGAGGAGGAAGGACGGCGACGACGACGACGACCACGACGTAAGAGCGCGCGCGCACGCTTTTGTTGAAAATCCGTGCTGCGAAACCTTGGGTTTTTGCAGTTTTTTTGGACACACGATTTTGAAATCCTTCCGAAACCGATGGGTTTAGAAGGGTTTCGGCATACGCGCGCGACGACGCGCGCGTCTGCACTTCGTCCCATTTTTTGCGGAGGATTCTCGCGACGGCACACGCGCAAGGGCGTTCGACAGATTTCGACATGCGCGCGCGCGAAGCCCGTTTCATAGCATTTTTTGAAAATCTTGAAAAACCTATTGTTTTCTTAAGATTTCGCAAGAGCTCGCGCGGAAGCTTTTTAGCAAATCATTGTTGCGAAACCCTGCGCTTTTGTATGTTTTTTAGAAACTCGATTGCGAAATCCTTCCGGCACCGAAGGTTTTTGGAGGATTTCGGCATGCGCGCGCGACGACGCGCGCGTGTGCACTTCGTCCTATTTTTTGCAAGGGATTCGTGAACAAGTGTTATGTTAGAACAAAACATGTCACCGCATAATGCTTTTGACAAGGGAACCTCAGGGGGGGGATGCCGGCTGGCATGGGGCATTTTGATTTCATATTTAGGATGGACATGTGGTCATAATCATATGTGATTTACATACCCGAAAGGGGGACCGATAACGCCGGGGGGGGTAGATCCTATTCGGTTTTTAGAAAGGAGAATCTACGTGGTGCAATTAAGTTGCTGAACTTGAAGTTGTCTTCTCCATTGCTCGAGCAAACATCCCACCCTCCCACCCGCAACTTGGTCAGCAAAACTCACCAGACCGTGGCTGCAAGTACCCAGCGAAGCTTCCTAGCGAGTACCTGACGCTGACGTCGTCGTCGTCGTCGTCGTCGTCGACGCTGTCGCCGAAGCCGTCGTCGTCGTCGTCGTCGTCGTCGTCGTCGTCGTCGTCGTCGTCGTCTTCCCCGCCGTCGTAGTCGTCGTCGTCGTCGCCGTCTGTCGTGGTCGTCGTCGTCTCGCGCACATCGCTCGGCATCGGCCGAGAAGAAACAACGAATGTGTCCCGCATGGCGTTATTTGACAAGGATTATGCCCCTGGCAGGCGCGCAGCCGTTGTTGAAGAAGTTCGAAGCGCAGGAAAAAGTTGCTCGCAAGAGCCCTTTTGACAGAAATGTTGAAAAAGTAGTGGGTTTCCTAGGAATCCGCAAGAGCGCGCGGGGTGAATGTTTGAATTTTTTTTTGTTGAACAACCATTGGGTTTTGGATGTTTTTATGTTAAAATCGTTACGAGCACTAAGGTTTTGGAAGGATTTCGTCTTGCGCGCGCGAATGTGTCCCGCATGGTATTATTTGACAGGGATTCGTGAAAAAGTGTTATGTTAGAAAGAAAAATGTCCCCGCATAGTGTTATTTGACAGGGAACCGCAGGGGGGGGATACCGGCTTGGCTGGGATGGTACGAATTCATATTTAGGATGGACATGTGGTCAGAATCATATGTGATTTACAGCACGCCCGGGGGAACCGATAAGTCCGGGGGGGGGGGTAGAATATATTATTCTTTTAGAAAGGAGAATCTTTGTGGTGCCGTCCATGTGGTGCAATCTATGTGGTGCAAGTATGCGAGGCCGCGACGAGGCGGCGACGGCGACAACATAGCCGCCAGACCGACAAGCAGGCCCAAACGACGGGCAACGACGAGGTGGCGACGGCGACATAATAGCCGCCAAACCAACATTCAAGCCCAAACGACGCGCGGCGACGAGGGGGCGACAACATAACCGTCACTCCGACATGCAGGTCCCGTTCCTAGGAAGAGACAGGGAAGCCCTACGTGCAAGCACTGTTTCGGGCGTGCACTTGTCAGACTTGTGTATCTATATGTTTTCTTACATTTGTGTGTATAGATACACATGTAGGAAATGAGGGCGGGGAGGAGATGGAAGAGAAGGACGAGTATGAGTAAACCACACAAAACAAAGACGGAGGATGGGGCGGATCGGGGAGGATTAATTTGCCACATGACATGATGATGAGGGGGAAGGAGGGGAGAGGACGAGGAGGGGAAGGAGAGGGAGAAGGAAGTGGGAAAAAGCAGGATGATTCAGGATGGGGTGTTGAAGGACTGGGATGATAATGCATGTGGACAATAATGATGCTGCTGAAGATAACGGTGATGATTAGTCGTAATGCGCATGACAGCAGGTGATGTTGAATAACCCACATCAAATGGGAACGCATACATGGGGACAAAGATGCTGGTGATGACGATGGTGATGATGACGGGGCTGGTGACGACGACGATGATGATGACAATGATGGTGAAGATGGTGATGACGACGAGGGCAAAGAGGAGGACGAGGAGAGAACGCGGGTTGACGGCACTCGACATCTGCCGCATCCGCACCGGGACCACCAACAGATGCCTGAGGCGGATGGATGGGCGGATCGCGGGGTTGGCGAACCAATGGCACGCAGCTGCTTTTCCCGGCGCCTCTCGGCACCAGAAGCGGACGCGCACCGAGGAAGGGCCTCGCGGTGGGGCCGAAACCGGCTGCATGCAGTCGTAACTTCCCCCTTCTCACAATGACTTCTGCCCTGGACTCAACGCGTGTACAATGCAACATGCGTGCTGCTAGCACGGCCCTCTGTGAGACCTCTGAGGCAGATGGGTGCGGAGGTGGGGAAGCGCTGCTGCAATCCCGCCCATCCCGCCTGCGCTAAAGTGTGTACGCAATTATCTTGCCAGAAGCTGAATTCAGAACGATACTCACATGATGCTCTTCGTCCGACCCGACGCGCCCATAGCCAGGCGGGGATCCGCGGGGGCAGGCCGGGGGCCGCGCCTCCTGGGCGGCGATGTAGAGCGGAGTCGAGCCGTTGTCTCTCCTGGGGGCGGGGCTGCTCTCCTACCGAGTTCTAGCCCCCAGGAAGACAAAAGAAGGAGCGCGTTTCTAGCGCCCCCCCCCCCCCCGCCGTGTGGCTCCGGCACCACTGCCGCGCCCGCGCGCACGACGACGATGAGCGACGAGCGGCGAGCGACGACGACGACGACGTCGACGACCGGGTGGGGGCTGGGGCCATGACGCCCGTCATGCATGCCCCAAGCAATAAAGAAACACACCTCGGGTGACGATCAGCCAGGAACCTCTGAAAGCCGGCGGGTCTGGGGGATGTGTCGGGGGTCGCGGCCGCTTCCGTGCGCATTCCAGAACGCTCTGGAGCGATGTAGCCTCACCCTAAGCCTGCCTGGCCCAGATCTGGGCGTCGAGCCAAAATATGGTGACTGGCGGCTCGTTTTCGGCGTCCGGAAGCAATCTTTTCCGGCCTGGGGTCCATCGAGAACGGCTCGAGGTGAGGGCACGGCCCCGGGGAGGCGGTCGAGAGTTCCCGGTCCGCGTGCCGAAATGACCACATCCTCGAAGCGCCCAAGTGGACGACGCCGACACCACGGCAAACCCACGGCAAACTCTGCGCCCCGCGCCCAGGTGGATGAGGCTGTCACCGCGGCAAACCCACGGCAAACCCACCGCGCCCGAGGCGGCGTTTGCCCTGGTGGCCGAGTCACCCTCCCCAAGCCAGAAGGCCGCGCGTCAGAACAAACGGCGCGGCGACACACGTCTGGGTGCCTGCTGGGTTTTGTCCACGCCGCTCGACGATCGAGGAGCCCCCCTCATCCTCGTCCTCGTCCTCCTGGCGGCGCGCACGGGCGTGTACTGCGAGGGAGGCGGCCTTCCAAAAAGCCTGGCACTTCTTCGGCAAGCCCACCCCCCCGCCTTCTCGGGAAGGCGCCCCCCTCGCGCCAGCGTCCTTGTCTTCTCCTCCTCCTCCTCCGCCGCCTCCTCCTCCTCCTCCTCCTCCTCCGCCTCCTCCTCCTCCTCCTCCTCCTCCTCCTCCTCCTCCTCCTCCTCCTCCCCCCGTATCCTCTTCTTCTCCTCCTCCTCCTCCTTTTCACCTCCTTCTCCTCCTCTTTCTCCTCCTCCTCCTCATCGTCCCCTCCTCCTCCTCCTCCTCCTCCTCCTCCTCCTTTCCTCGTCGTTATGAATAACTCCTCCCTGTCGCACTCCGAGGCCAATCGGAAGGGCTGGCCGGGCGTTTTGCCTGAGACTTCCGTACCATTTCTCATCCTTGAACTAATATATTGGCAGCAGATGGAGGGCGGGTGGCTTCCAAAATGTGGCTCTCGCCTTAGCACCGTGCGCGTTCGTCTTAAACATTTGTTGCAACAGTTTAACGGATTGACCGCGGCTCGTTTTCAAAATGCGGCTCTCGCCTTCGCGCCGCGCGCATTCGCTTTCTAAGCTTGCAAAAGTTTCGCGGATTGAGGGCGGCTCCTTTTCAAGATGTGGCTCTCGCCTTAGCGCCGCGCGCATTCGTTTCAAACATTTGCAAGAGTTTTGCGGATTCTCATGGTCAGCGTACCAGAAACTATGTTTTGGAGCGGTTCAGGACTGTCGGGCGCAACAGCTAAGTTGATTCGCGGTGTTGGAATATCAGGAACGGTGTTGTGACATATTCTGGTTCGTCAAGACGCAACAATGAGGTTGGCACTCGGGATTTTCACACGGTTTTCTCCCAACGGGGCATTTCCCTCAATGGAAACGAACCCCTGTAGGGGCCTATGAAGAGGGAGCTTGGAGGGAGGTTATATTCCAACATCGTTGATGAGTCTTGGGTTTGCACTGGTCCTCCTTCTTCTCCTCCTCCTCCTCCTCCACCTCTTTCTCCACCTCCTCCTCTTCCTCCTCCTCTGACGGATGCCACAAGATCGCCACACACACCTCTCCCCTCCCTCCACCAGCACCATTTTTTTCGCGACATAGGCCACCTCTTTTCAAGGATCGGCTTTTCATCCGGCGCCGGCTTGTCTGACGGTGCTCACGAGCGGCGAGCATGTCCGTATCTGCGCCCTCGCGGTCTGGATTCTGAGGCGCGGTCCCGCGGATGCGCGGTCGCACAAATGCCATCCGCGTGGGGCATCCGCGAAAAAACGCCCCATATCCGCGGGGTCGCGGCCCAAGGGCCTGGCCCGAGATGCCGCGGATACGGATATGTTTTTCGCCCACGAGGTCGTGGTGCTGGGAGACGGCCTCCAGAGGTAGACCCGACAGACGGCAGGGGGGAAGAGCGAGGAGCAATAGCGCAACGAGGATCGATGGAATAAGGAGTTGAGTTTCGCTGGATGGTCTGCATCACCAAACAAGGTTTTCTGCAACACAGCACGACTGTGCCGACTCCCGATAGAAAACAAGGCGAGCGCCCGCAGCAGCAACGCCGCCCACCGCTAACAAAGAAACATGTCTGCACCTCGCACGGACTGCCGCAATACTGCGCCACCCACGGGGCGGCCCACAAGCAGTGATCCACTGACGATGACTTTTCCGCCAGGCACACCTCATCCGAAACGCGTCCCTCTGCCTGGCCCCCGCTGCGACGCTTGCTGGTGGCTGCCCGCTGGCAATGGGCGGCCAGAGAAGCCCTCGGGACCTGCTGGGCGCGCTGGTGCGGCGCTGGCGCCAGCGCCGAAGCCTGCGCCCCCGCGGCCGCCAACTGAAGCAGCTGGGGCGCCGACCGAGGCTCCCGCGAGAAGCCCCCCAGCCAAAGTGCCCAAGCCCACGCCCCCGTCACCGCCCAGCCCACCAAACATGATCCGGCTGTCGCGCAGCCGGACGGGGCCACAGTCCGGGGTCGCGGGTGCCGGCGCGCCGCGCGCTGCAGGGACGGCCGGCGCTGCGGGCGCCGCGGGCGCCTGGGAACCCGCACTCGGCACGGGCGCCATCTCCACGCAGATCTCGCGGGCCTCGCCCTCCGCCTCTGGCCTCGGGCGGCCGCCACCTGCCGGCGGCGCAGCGGCCGCCTCGCAACCCAGAAGCGGCGGTCCTGGGGCCACCTGCCGCGGTGTCTCCGCCGTGCCGTCGTCCAAGTCCTCCTGGTACCTGAGCAGGGTCGCCAACTGCGAGGTGACCGTGTGCCCCGACACCTCGCGGCGGAGAAGCACGTAGAAGACCACGAAGGGGCACGCGAGCACAAGCAGCACCGTGAGCGCAACGCTGCTGTCGCCCAGAACGCCTGGACTCAGTTTCAGGTGCCGCAGGAGCACGAGCGAGTAGGACAGGAGCAGGCAGCACTGACAGGAGGCGTGCATCATCGTGACAGATTCGCTGAAAAATGGTTGCAAGCCAACGGTGGCCAGGGCATCTACGGAGCTAAACCCCATCAGGCAAATCGTCTTCAGATGGATCGGCATGTCGAAAGCTCCAACCATGGTCAACGCCGCGCGCACCAATCTCTCGCTGATGACGAAAAAGAACGCATCGGAATGATATCTGCCAAGCAAGCCGCTGGCGCCGACAAGCTGCGATAGTCTTTGCTGCCGCATGAAATTCTGCAAAACAAGTCGCTCCGCCGTGCTTTGTACCAAAGTTTGCTTCTGCCTTGTGTTCAGCCTGTCAGCCGGCCACTCGCGGGCACCATCTCTCCTGCGCGCCTGCACTGCCTTGACTTCCGCCACAGCCAGCATCCAGGCAGCACGGTGCACCACGTCGGTCGCAGGGCGTATGGCAAGGCGATTGACGGGGAGGCTAGTGCTGCTCAGCACGCCTGCGTCTCTGCAGACCAGGTCGTGAGTGCAGCCCTCTGTGGTCAAGACTAACTGCTGCGTATTCGAACGCTTTGCGCGAATCGCTCGGAAATACTTTGAACTGCGCTGCATGATCCGCCGTTGCCCTTGCAGCGACAGGCGGCGTGTCAAGCCCGGAAGAATGTGTCGAATTTAATACATGTCCCTTGCGAGGCAGTGGCCTGGGCGCCACGCGAAGCTGACTCCACGATCCACGATGTGCTCCTTCTTCGCACTCGATCTCATTTTTTTCTTGGATTTGTACGGAAGAATGAGCCGCTTTTCAGTTAGTCCTGTGAGAGCCCGAGGGAACACCCCACGGCGTTTCTCAAGGCTTCATGGGAGGCCCAAGACAGCCCGAGGCCTGCCATAGAACAGTCCTCGACGGGACAAGTGCGCACCACGGCCGTGCCTGGCCGCACTCTGGACGGCCACGCGAACCCACCCTGACGGCACCATGACTCTCAGGCTCCCGGAGGCTCTCCAGGGGACCCCAAGGAACCTTGAGGAGGAGGGGGAGGAGGAGGAGGAGGGGGAGGAGGAGGATGAGGAGGAGCAGGAAGAAGAGGAGGAGGGGGAGGAGTAGGAGAAGGATAGCAGGCCCTTGAAGCCCCAAAGCGTGGAACAACTATGCTCAAGATGATTCTGGCGGGCCTCTGGGGAGCCTCTGAGTCGCTTCGGACGGGGGCCCAGTGTTCCAGGAGGCCCTCCCTTGCGCAATGGACAGGGCGACGAGATCTCCTCCTCCTCCTCCTCCTCCCTCCTCCCTCCTCCTCCCCTCTCCTCTCTTCCTCCTCCTCCTCCTCCTCGTCCTCGTCCTTGTCCTCCTCCTCCTCCTCCTCCCCCTCCTTCCACTCCCCTTCTCCGCCTCCCTCTTTTTCTCCTCCTCCTCCTTTTCCTCCTCCTCTTCCTCTCCTCCTCCTCTTCCTCCCCTCCTCCACCTCCTCCTCCTCCTCCTCCTCCCTCCCTCTTGCTCCTCCTCTTGCTCCTCCTCCTCCTCCTCCTCCTCCTCCTCCTCCTCCTCCTCCCCCTGCTGCTGCTGCTGCTGCTTCTCCTCCTCCTGTCTCACGCGCCAGTCCTGACTTGGGTTCCGAGAGCCAAATTCCACTTCTCCCCGGTCAAGCCCATCCTGAACCCAACAACTGTGTATACGCCCTCCTGGCCAAGCCAGGAGGGCTTGGCACATACACCGCTGCCGGGTTCAGGATGGGCGTGGCTAGGGAGCAATGTATATGTATAATTCTTGCCGCCCTAATGGATACGTACCCTAATGGTACGGGTGAGATCCCAACAGGACGGATGACACCCTAGCGGGTAAGACGCTTTGGGCGAGTCAGACCCCAACGGCTCCTAAATTTAATTGTGCTTTCTTTAGGGTCTAAAGGTGAGGATCCAACTGGCCCCTTGGAAACTAATTTAGCGCCTCTGGTTTGCTTCGGAAGGCCTCCGACTGGCGTCCTCAAGTCCCTCCAGGGTTCAATCTTCATCAGAATTCTGCTCGGTTCCTCTAGATCCCAAAAGAACCCTCAACGTTCCTTACAAACCCTCCGGAATCCTCATGATATCTCGGGCTGCCTAAGAATTCCTCGGAATTCTCTGCGCTCTATCCGGAAACCGAAAAAATCCCCAAGATTCTTGAACATTCTTTAGGATGCCTACGGGTTCTGCAGAATTCGCCAGGAACCATCCGGATTCTTTAGGATTCTTCACGGCAAGATTCCCAATACTTTCCAAGAGGTCCTCCAGATGCAATCGATTTGTCAAGCTTCCTCATCATTCCCGTGAGATCGCAGAACTCTTTGAACAAGCGTTTTCTTTGGTTGCTTGCAGGGGTGTTGCGAGTCGTACCCCCCCCTGCGCCAGCAAGCGACGACGACGGACGACGACGGTGACGCCGCCACCGCCGCCGCTGCCGCCGCCGCCGCCGCCGCCGCCGCCGTCGTCGTCGTCGTCGTCGTCGCCGCCGCCGCCGCCGCCGTCGTCGTCGTCGTCGTCGTCGTCGTCGTCGTCGTCGTTGTCGTCGTCGTTGTCGTCGTCATTTGCCAGCGCAAGGAATGGCGGGGGTGGGAGGGGGAGGGTCGTCGTAACCCGCCCTCTGTCCCTGCACCGATTGGGTGGGCTGGGGGGTTCGTAACCCCTCCTCCCCTCGTTGTGCGAGGTGGGGGAAACGGTTTTGGGGAGACGAGAAAGCGAGGGGGCTCCGATTTCGGAGGCCACCACCATGTACTTTTTCAGCCGAGCGCCAGCGAAAAGCACCCCTTTAACTCTTCAGGATTCCTGAGGAGTCCTTCGCGTACCTGGGGATATCTCAGGATCTTGAGGACCTCTTTCGCCTTCTTTAGGATCGATCAGACGTCTTCAGAGTTCTTCGAGACCCTTCGGAAAACCTTGGATCCCTCAAGAATCCTTAGGATCCCTGTTGGTCCCTCCGGGTTCGTCAGAATGCACGAGGGATCACCAAATCTCATCCGAATTCTTCACGGCAAGATTCCTCAATACCTCTTCCGACCTTTAAAGACTCTTCGGGACTCCTGAAGATGCATCAGAGTCCTTCAGGGTCCATCAGGTCTCTCCAGGAGAACTGCAGATTCCTCATGGCTCCCTGGAAGTATCCAAGATTCCTGAGGCACATGGAGGCCATACGGTCTTCATATCACGACGTGGCTCACCTGAGAAGTCCAAATCGCTACCATATATATATATATATATATATATGTATATAAATGCCACGTGAAAGCTGTATGGAGTTCACAGCCTGCCCTCGTTCCGAGGGGCCCCGAAGAGGCCTCAAAGATGCCTCGCGCATGCTCCGCGACAGCCTTGCAACGCCGCGGCCGTGCCGCGCCACAACGCTGCTGTGCAGAAGCCTCCCCAGCGTGGCGGCGGCTGTTTGCGGCAGCACGACTTGACAGTCGCTCTGGCCCTTCGCCTGGTCAACAAGTCCTCGGGCTCCTCTATCAGGTCCGCCCTCGACACCAAGGCCGAGTGCCTCCTTATCTCGTTCCTGTAGGACTGGAAGAGCGCTGTCATCATGACGCCGACGCACAAGAGGTGGAGGCCGATGGCACAAGGACCAGCTATGCGGAGCAAGTGGTACGACGCCGTCACCTCGCCCGCGCCGTCCTTGAAATTGCCTGGCACCCGCTGCTCGCACTGGAACCCGTAGTCGACGAACAGAAAACCATCCCCCGCGAACCCTTCCGTGTCGCAACTGAGGTTGCCGCTGATGGGCCGCAGGATCCCCACCAACGTGATCTCCAGGCACGCGAGCGCGAACGCGGCCAGGCCGCGCCTCGACCGGTAGTTCCGGGCCCCGTCTGGCAGCAGCTGCAGGAGGCAAGCGGCACAAGGGACCAGGAGCCAGAGCACGAGGGGGGTGCCCACGGGGACGAGCACCTGCAAGTGCAGGCCCGTCATGCTCGGGAGCCAGCACTCCGGGCGGACAGCGGACAGATACGACCTGAGGGCCCCGGTGTCCAGGGACATGACAGCAGAAAACCACTCGGTGAATTCGACCATCAACATCTCCAGCGTTTCGTCCCGCGACTGTTGCTCGGGGTGCTCGAACCTGAGCAGCACTGTCGCCGTGCTCAGCAGCTGGCAGTAGAGTACCAGCACGATGACGAGTTGCTTGGAGAATCTGGAGTGGTGTGAGTACCGCGCCACCATGGCAGACCACCTCCCCCGAGTAGCAGCGGCCACGGCCAAAGCAAAGCCGACGACCGCCCCCAGTGCCAGCAACACGTACACGATAGACAAGATCCTCTCCTCTCTGTCGCACTCGACGCAGTCTAAGCCGCTGAAGCTCGTGAAGGCTCCTGCGGAGCACACTGCGCACAGGGGCCCCTCGTGCAGCGGCGCGCACCGCTGGTCCCCAAGACAAGCCTTCGCGTTCGGACATGGCCTGGGCCCCGACAGCTGCATCCCGTCGTGCCTGTAGTATCCGGGCATCGACGAGACGGCGCTCAGCGACAAATTCTTCCTGCTGCAGTCCAGGCCGTCTGGGCACGCGATGCACCTCCGCTTGTCCTGGTCGTAAACGGTTGCGATGTCGCAAACGCACTCTGTGGAGGATGTGGAGCCCTTGGTCAGGGTGGTGAGGTTCTCCGGAGACCGGCTGACTACGACGGCTGGATCCTTGCATGACTTGCAACGCAGGCTGTCGTCGTCGGAAAACCATCCGATGCTGCATGGCCCACACGTGCCATTCTGATTCTCATAGCCCCTAGGACACAACTTTTCGCCCGTAGTGCTGCAAGTGGTGGCCCCGACGGTCACATCCGTTACGCCCTGGCAAAAGAGGCAAGCCCATCCATCTGTCGAGTAATGGTATTTCTCGCACTGCTTGCACATCGAAGCCAAGCCACTCGAGATGCCGATCCCTCGGTTTCGTTCGTAGCCGGGCACGCACCGAAAAACTACCCGCACCAAGCCGCCAGACGTCCCAACCGCAGTGTCCCAGTCGACGCGCGTTTCCAAAGAGCTGCTGGCGAAGCTGGTGCCAGCGCTCCCGGACCGCGCCGATCTGTCACCTCCATCCCCGCCGCAATAACCGCCGCCGCCGCCGCCGCCTCCAGCCCGTCCAGTCCAGCCTTCCTTCGTCAGGCCGCCGGCTCCGCCGCCTCCGAAGCCGCCAGAGGCACTGCCCGCGTCGGCGTCCCCCAGGCCGCCGAGCTGCTCCAGCTCGCCGCACTCGCACCCCTCCACGCCTGCTCCCGCCTCTGCGGGGAAGTAGCGCCTGCCCGCGACCAGGCAGCCCGAGCGTCCGCCAGGCTGCGCGCTCCGGGCGGGCACGAGCACGTGGCTCGCGCCCGAGCACTTGCACTCACTGCTGTTCGAGCTGCGCTCCATGGCGCCCGTCACGGCACGTCCGCAGGCGGCTTTCGAGTCCCCAAGGCGGCCGATGTGCTCCAACGACCCGCACTTGCACCCCTCCACGTCTGCGGCCGGCTCTGCAGGGAAGTAGCGCCTGCCCGCGGCCGGGCAGCCCGAGCGTCCGCCAGACTGTGCGCCCCGGGCGGGCACGAGCACGTGGCCTGCGTCCGAGCACTTGCACTCGCCGCTCGTCGAAGTGCGCTCGACGGCGCCCACCACGGCCCGCCCGCAAGCGGCCCCTTCGACCAGCCTCGGCACCGGCGACCCCCCCGCGGCCCCGCCGTAGTAGAGGCGGGCACGGCGGCAGTCCAGCAGGCGCCCGCCCCCGGCCCCTGGAGCGCCCCGACCTGCAGACGCCAGGCCGCCGCCTCCGGCGCCGCCGCCCTCCTGCCCGCTGCCACCGTGGCCATCGGGGAGCTCTTCCCCCGTCAGCGGCCCCTCCACGCCCGCGGTCGGACAGCCAGCGCGCCCCACCGCGGATCCGCCCTCGCTCGCCAGCACGGCGCCGCCCCCGCCGGCCGCGATCACGAGGTCGCAGCGCTCGCCGCCCGCGGACAGCCGCAGGATCTGCGACGCGCCTCCGCCGCCCGCTCCCGCCCGGGCGCCCTCCCCGTCGCCGCCGCGCGCGCCCACCAGCACGAGGAGCTCGTCGCCCCCGCGAAGCCTCAGCTCGCGGAAGACCGCCCTCGCGCCCCGGCCGCCCGCCGTCCAGGCGCCGCCCTCCAGGACGCTGCCGCCCGCGGCGCCGATGACCTCGGCATGCGCGAGCACGACGTCGTGCTCGCCGACGCGGACCTGCCAGACGCCGTCCCCGTACTTGCTGAGCGCGAGGCCCTGCGGCAGCGGCCTGCTCGGCCGAGGCGGCCCGCGGCCGACGCCCTGCTCGATCTGCAGGACGCCCTCCAGGAAGGTGGCGTAGGCCTCCGTCTGCGGATCGGGGCCCACCGCCCGAGCCTGGCACAGCCACAGCAGCAGGCCCAGCAGCTCTCGCGGCGCACGTGGTGAGCACGGCGGCGTCGGCCAGGAAGGTGCCTGCCCAGTGGCCATGGCTCGGGCTCAGGGCCCTTCGCGAGCGAGCAGGAAGCCTGGGCGGACCCACACGCTGTAGCATCCCTTGTGTTCTTTGTTTGTCGGCCCACGGGCCCCAGAGGCCTCGTCCTCTTCCCTGGGTGCAGCCCGTCGTCCCAGATCCATGCGTGAGGGTCCTGGGGCTCCAAAGCGCCTCCCCCCTGAGGCCGAAAATGCATCACAACGCCAAGCCGAACCCCAAAAACCAATCCGCTGGAGGTCTGGGGATGTGGAGGGCCAGGGCCGTGCGCAGGATGAGCCAGCGGCTTGACCCACAGGCTGCGGAGCCGGCCCCCAATGAGCGCGAACCGGCGGGTCGCGTCGCGCGCTTGAGAGCACGGCCCGGTCAAGCGCAGAACGGGGGCGGGAGAGAGCAGAAGGGTGGCGGAGGCGGGAAGAGAGGACCAAGCGGACGAGGCGTTGGTCCAGCACATGCGGCGAGGGGCGCGTGCCTGTGCCGGTGTGGGCAAGGCGCGTGAGGCCACAGCCACTCGTACGCGGCAAAGCTTTGGCTCGCGCGAAGGCCGCCATGGTTGTCGTGCTGCTTGTAGCCGCGTGGTGTCGTTAATGTTATAGTGTTGGTCGTGCTGGGCGGATGTGGTCTAGAGCGTTTCCTCTTCCATCCCATTCTTCTCCTCGTGGAAGGGTCTACCCCTCCCCCGACACCCTCCCCTGCGACTGGACGAAGGGTTTCACATGCGGTCAGAGCGCTCAAGATTGTCCCAGATAACCCAATATGGCTTCAAGATGACTCAAGTATCCCCGAATGGTTCAATATGACCTCCACCATGCCTCCAAGAAGCCCTCCGAAGACAGCCCGGGGACAGGTCCAAGTGGCGACCGAACGTCTCAAGGAGGCCTCCGAGAGGCCAACCAGCTTCCTAAATCGGAAGACATCCCATGACTTTTGTATTTTCCACCTTTTCGAATGTTTCTGATGCCTCAGGATGGCTCCAAGATTGCCCAAGAGAGCGCCAAAAGGGGCTCCAGGAGGGCTCCAAGACGGCCCCCAAAGCGGCGCAAGAGGGCCCCAAGAAACGACTTTTCGAGCCCACAAGGGAGACATTAATCCGCGTGGCCCCCCTCTTTGATCGATGGCCTCCGAAATGACCCTGAGAGGGCCCCCAAAGCCCCCACGAGGGCCCTAAGAGAGCCCCATCGGCCTCCAACATTGGCCCCGAGAGGGGCCCAATATGGCCTCAGTGAGCTTCCCAGAAGCTCCAGTTTCGAACGATCCGCGAAGGCATTTCTGGTTGATTCTTGGGTATGCTGAGGCTGATCCCGAACTTCGGTTTGACGGATGCCCGTCACTCTCTTTGTTCCACTGCTTGCTTCTACACTTCCCTGATCAAGGCGACTCGCTTGGGCATCGTTTCTGGATGGGCTGGTTGGGGATCAGGGAAGCGTCAATGCTTATTTCTTAATGTACGGAAGCCTTTTAAAAATGCATACACGCTATATATATGTATATATATATATATGTACACACATGTCTATGCATCTGTTTGTGTGTATGTATTCGTATACGTGATATACACGTGCATACTAAAACCATCGCGCGAGCTTCGCGCGCGCTCGAGGTCTAGCTCGGCTGGATGGTCGAACTCTTGGGGGTCTCTATTCCATGACACTTCTTCTCCGGGGCTTCCAGGAACCACGAAAACGGCCCAAATGGCTTCCAAGACTTCCTACGGTCCACCCACGGCGGTTTAAGACAAGAGGCCCAAAAAACACTTCGGGGGCCCTTTTATTCGCCGCGGCTGGACGTAACCGGAGGAAGAGGGAGAAGGGGAGGTGAAGGGGTTCCCTGGGGGCGAAGGAGAAGGAGAATGAGAAGGAAGTGGAGAGGGTGGAGGAGGCCGCAGAGGAGGAGGAACTGGAGAGGGAAAAAGAAGAATAACACAAACGAGTTTTTTTGTTTTTTGTTGTTTGTGTGCAAGCGTATCGAAGCTGCCAAGCGAACCAACATTATCCTGGCGAAGGACCCAACCGTATGCAGTTGGGAATGCCGCAATTATGAATATCATCTTCGCCCGCGCTCCATATGGGGCCACGGACCGTGTGGGGGCGTGCCGAAATGCGTGACACAACCCGAACGAAGACGATAGGTCTGTGTGCGAGAGACTGAGCGGGTGAGTGTGAGCGCGAGTGGGTCTGATTGTGAATGAGTCTGCGCGCGCGTGAGTCTACGTGCAAAAATGTCGACGCACTCGCCACGCCCCTCACGAGGATCGCGCCCCCTTCCTCCCCGTTCATTTTCTCCCTCTTTGCCCGTGCGCGCCCATGTCCAAGGCTGCGGGCGCGGCGCAGCACGGAGTCCCCGCGACGCGCGCCGGTCGCCCTGAAGGGGTCCCGGCGACGCGCGCGGGTCGTCCGCTGCGCGGAGCAGAGAGAGCTAGCAGGCTGGCTGATGGCGGGCAGTTCTCTGGCCGCTGGGCAGAACGACGACGGGGGCACGCGAGGCGCCGGGCAGAGCGCAGCATGGAGTTCCCGCGACGCGCGCTGGTCGCCCCGAGAGGGTCCCAGCGACGCGCGCGGGTCGCCCGCGGCGCGAGGCCAAGCAGAGGCTCGGGCGGGTCGCTCCTCAGGTCAAGCCTCGCTCATAAACTCGGTGAAGCAAAATGTGTGAGGGCTATGCCACAATGGGGCGGCGCCGCCATGCGAGCTGCGCCACTGTGACCTTCGTTGGAACCTATGGGGCCACGAAATGTGTGAGGGGTGTGCCACAATGGGGCGGCGCCGCCATGGGAGCTGCGCCACTGGGACCTTAGGAGGAGCTTCCTATGGGGCCACGGAACTTGCGAAGGGTGGGGTGTGCCGAAATGGGGCGGCGCCGCCATGCTAGGTGCGCTGCTGGGACCTTAGGAGGAGCTCCCTATATGGCCACGAAACGTGTGAGGGGTGTGCCACAGCGGCGCCGCCATGCGAGCTGCGCCACTGGGCCCTTAGGAGGAGCTCCCCATGTGGCCACGAAGCGTGTGAGGCGTGTGCCGAAATGAGACGGCGCTGCCATGCGAGCTGCGCCACTGGGACCTTACGAGGGGCTCCCTATGGGGCCACGAAACGTGTGAGAGGTGTGCCGAAATGGGGCGGCGCCGCCATGCGAGCTGCGCCACTGGGACCTTAGGGGGAGATCCCCATGGGGCCACGAAACGTGTGATGGGTGTGCCGACATGGGTGGTGGGGACGATGATGATGCTGCTGATGCTGCTGATGATGATGATGATGATGATGATGATGATGATGATGATGATGGCGATGCTGCTGATGATGATGAGGATGATGATGATCATCATGCTGATGGTGATGGTGATGGTGATGGTGATGGTGATGGTGATGTTGATGATGTTGATGTTGATGATGCTGATGCTGATGATGATGATGATGATGATGATGATGATGATGATGATGATGATGATGATGGTGAGGACGATGCTGCAGATGATGATGCTGATGGATGGTGATGTTAGTGACGATGATGCTGATGTTGGGGAGAGGGCAACGGGGGCAGCGGGAGAAAGGAACGTGGGGCGCTGTCTCTTCAAAACGAAGACCCAACACCACAGGATGGTTGGGGAACAACTGTCGGAATTCCCGTTTTTCTCAAGTGCCCTCGGGGCCTCTCTCGGGACTCTTTTGGGCCTCTTTGGGGCTTCTTGGGGACGTCTTGAAGCCTCCTGGGGGTCTCCTGGGGGCGAAGATCTCGGGTTCTCGGTTCGCGTTCCCGATCCTGGGCGGCGGTTGGGGCCCTCTCGCGCCGTCTTGGACGTCTCTTCGGCGCTTTTGAAACCTATTGGGCGGTCTTGGGGCGCTTTTGAAGCCTATTGGGCCGTCTTGGGGCGATCCTCGGAGCCTCTTGGGGCGTTTTGCAGCGTCGGGAAGAGGAACAGGCGGAAACGCCACAACTTTTCAAACACATGTCGAACATACCTGTTTTTTGGCCTCCTCGAGCTCTGTTGGGAGACCTTTTGAAGCCTCTTGGGTATCTTAGGGGCCTCTTGGGCCGTCTGGAGGCCGTCTTGGACCATCTAGTGGCCTTCAGCCATCCCGCCACCGTGCCTGGGTTTTGGGTTAAGAGGCCTCTTGGAAATTCGTTTGGGATTCGTAGGAGGCCTCCCGGGGGCCTCTTGAAGGCAGTTTTGGAAGCCTCTTGGGGGCTGTTTGGGGTTCTCTCGGGGCCTCTTTGGGGCCTCGTGTGGCCTCTAGGGGGCCTCTTGGGCTCTCTTGGGGGCCTCTTGGGGCCTCCTGGGGGCCTCTTGGGGTGGAAGGCTTGAATTCTCGGTTCGTGTTTCCCCCTCTTGAGCCCCTCTTGGGGCCGTCTTGGGATCTTCTTGGGCGATCTTGGGCGCCTTTTGGGCCGTCTTGGGGCACTCTTGGGCCGTCTTGGGACTCTCTTGCGCCGTCCTGGCGCCCTCTTTGGGTGCCTCTTGGGCGGTCTTGAGCTGATTTCTGGGGCCTCGTGGGCTGTCTTGGACCGTCGGAAGCACGAAAAAGCGAGAGCACGAAACACTTTCAAAAACCTTGGAACCAACAACTCCTTTTTCGCCTCCGGAAGGCCTCGTATGAGTCCTTTTTGAAGGCATCTTGGCCGTCTTGAGGCCCTCTTGGGCTTTCTTAAAATCATCTTGGACCAAAATTTAGACGCTCTTGTGCGGTCTTGGGCTCTCTTGGAGCGATCTTGGGCCATCTTGGCGTCCTCTTGGAGGTCTCTCGGGCCCTCTCGTCGCCCCCCTTCCCCTCCTTTGATGCGTTCTGGCGCCCCCCGACGGGTCCCAAACGGCCAGGTACCGAATCAGTTAACTCCAGGCCCCCCAGGACCCCCTCCCCATTGTCGAAAGCTGGGCGAGGGCTGCTAAAACGGTGGCTGCTAAAACGGCCCTCCCGGAAGGAAAAAACAACTTCCCGGAATGAAGCGAGGCACGCGAAACAGTCAACGGGCTTCTTCCCGGAAGGACGAAGACAGCTTCCCGGAGGTCGATTTTAGCAGCCACGGATTTAGCAGCCCTCGCCCGGCTTCCGACATTGATCTCTCTCTCTCTCTCTCTCTCTCTCTCTCTCTCTCTCTCAATATATATATGTATATATATATATATATATGTATATATATACACATATATATGTCTACATATATGTATACTATATAAATATACATATAGATTCTGGGAGCTCTCCTCCCAGCGTGGGCTACATTGTCTCTGAAAGCGAGGCTCTCGCTCGAGCACGGCTTCATTCTGAATGTGGGTTGTTGGCGGCCCAAATGCACAAACAGCGGCTCCCGCCTCAAATATCATCAGAATTTACTCAGGGCCCCCCGCGCCCGCCTGCCTCGCAATGATCTCGAGAATCGTGCTCCCGCCTTCTGCCGCATGACTTATATTTAGGACTCGCGCTGTCGACGCCGCCGGTTGGGGTCCGCCCGCTATACGGGCCCGTTGGGGTCCGCCCGCCCGTCCCTGCTGTCCCTGCTGTTTGGGCCCGTCCGTTCGCTTGCTTGGAACTCCGCCCGCCCACTTCCTTGTCCAGCTCGCCCGACCCTCCCGTTGGCGTCCGCCCAGCCTGGCCGTCTGGGCCCGCCCGCCCGCCCTCTCGTTGGCGTCCGCCCGTCCGACCCGCCCAAAACCGTTCACGCAGGAGCCGGCACGACCCCCCCCCCTATGGAAGGGGTGCTGTCATCTACTTGGAGAAGGCGGCTGTAAGAGAGAGAGAGGGAGAAGCACACGAAGGTCAATCAGCTTCCTAGTTCACGTGGCCGTGACATGACTGTGGTTTGCATGTGTGCGAGCATGTACATGCTGCATATGCGTATGCATACGTACATGTGTGTGACTATAAAGATGTGTCAGATCTGGAGAAAGAAACTGCCCCAACGAAGGGGTGAAGATATCTGGGTCCGCGCGCTGCAGAAGCGAGGCTATCGCCGGCCTGGGTCACCGCCCGCAGCCCAGACACCTGGCGCTCCAACTTGTTCGCTGCGCGACCCCCCAGTCTTCTCGAACCCTCCCCCGGGGCTGGCTTTTCCGTGGAGGGATGAAAAAACGACCCTACCCTGGTTTACAAGCGCGTGGTCCGTGAACCTCCTGGGACCCCCCACAGCCTAGAGCCGCCAGGACGCGGCACACCACGCAGGGTCTACCCTGTCAGCCCACAGGAGCTTCAGAGCACAGCGCCTCGCAAACCAGGGCAGGGGCGTTTCTTCTGCCCTTGACTCCGTCCCGAGCCGCTCTTTGACGGCCCCGCGGCCCGAAACGGGCCTCCAGAGGCCACGCCTCGGGGCAGACCGGCCGCCTCGAGTCGTCCGAGGCGCCAGACGTCTGGGCGACCGCTCATCAGGACTGTGGAGAATCGGCTTCCTAGAGATCCAATGTTTGATTTGTTGGTACGGAGTCTCCAGAAGTCCGTACCTTTTCCCCGGGGCTGGCTTTTCGACCTGAGCTGTTTTTTAATGGTGCCGAGGCCCGCGAGGACGCCACAGGCCGAAGACGGCGAAAAGCCGTCGTATTGATTCAGGCCAGTGCGTTGGAGGTTTGGGTTCGACACAGATCACCATGGCCAGGCGGCTGGCTCCAGACACCCTGAGAGCTCCCGCGGCCCCTCTCCTGTGATGTTGCATATCTTAATGTGGCGTAGGCAACTGGAGGTCACCGGGCGGGATTTTCATCCCGGGCAATTTTTTGACGGTCCTGGGGCCGATAGACAGCCGCAGAGGCCGAACGCATGAAAAAAGTGGCCGTCGCGATTTTTTCCGAAGATAGCCAAAGATGCCCCCAAGATGGCCTACGATGGCCCCAGGATGGCCTCGAGACAGCCCAAGAGGCCCCCATGACGACCCAAGAGGGCCACAAGATGACCCCCAGCAGGGCCAACCAATGTCCAAATCATGTATGCTCCAAAAGCTTTTGAACGATTTTGATGTCTTGACCTCTTCGGGCTTCCGTCAGCTGTACGAGGCCCTACAGGCCTCCAAGATGCCTCCAAGACGGCTCAACAATCCACCAAGACGGCCTCAAGACAGCCCAAGAGGGCCCGTAGAAGGTCCAGTACGGTTCCAAGAGAGCCAGAAGCTGACCCAAGAGGACCTCCAGAGGGACCCAAGGCAGCCTAAGAGAGCCCATCGACGGTCCAAGATGTCACAAGGAAGGCTCCGCGACGGCCGCAAGAGACACTCCTGACGGCCACGAGGACCCGAGACGGCCCAAGAGGGCCCCACGGCGGCCCAACATGGCCCAAGGAACCCCTCAAACTGCCCAACAGGAGCCCAGGAAGGGGAAGACGACGAAGACAAGAAGAGAACCCCTGACACGATGCGGAATAGTCTGCCACATGACACGGCTCTCCCAGGCCTCTGGATATGATGTGTCACACGTCACGATCTTCTGTGCCCCTCCGAACCGTCGCCACCGAGAATGCTGGGCCAGCATGGTGGCGGGACTTGCCGCAAGCGGCTGTGTATCGTTAGCGGACACCACAAGTGTATATACATTCTCACTACATACATCGTTCACATGCACCAAGAGCAGCCATCAAGAACAGGCGTCAGGAGCACCCACCAAACCATGCATCAACCGCACACGCCATACACGCACACACAAACACACCAATGGTTTACACCAGCAGCACACACACGCCAATCACATCCACCAGTCAAATACACCAAGCACATACGTGAACAGAATGCATCAGTAATGCAGGTCGGTAGCACACACGCACACACACACACACCGAAAACACCCATCATGACCAGGCACCACGAACCACTACCAATAGCACATGCCACACGCATGCGTAAACACCTTTCACCAATACCGCACATCACTGACATACATCGATGTGTAGCCCTGGATCGTACGCCACAGCCTAAACAATACCACACGTCACGCGCACGTGCCAATCACATAACATTTCCATGACATCCACCAGCACCAGCTCATACAACACTGGCATCTACCTAGCACGCGCAACAGTGCCATACTGGAAGAACATCCACTGCGACCCGACGTCTATATCCCACATCACTGGCGGACATGCTGAACACATAACCTGATCAAACAGCACGGGCACGCGTCATCGACAGACATCGGTACCACACATGAAGCACATCCATCGACGACATCATGTCAACACAGGTGCGTCGATAACACGTTCCACGCGCCTACATTAACAACATACATCCAGAACAGGCATCACCCCCTACACGACAGTACCGTGCGTTACTTCCAAGTCTTTCCATGCACGACTAAGGGCTAACACACAAGCACATGCACCAACCGCATGCGCTGATCACATATACCAGCATACCAACACTATGCTTCATTACATACGCCACGTAGGTGCAACACTATCACATGCTAGCATCCTTCACCAATACCATACAGCAACATCGCGATACAACACATGCACCAATCGCGTACAACAGCGCCATGTGCTTAAACCATGCAGCTTGACAACACAACGATTGCATCACTAACCGCGTAACTAGCACCCATGATTTAACAACGACTGTGCATCTGTACCACACATGCAACCGTGATAACATGCATTCGGAACGCACACACATGATGCAATATTGACACAGGCACACACACTAAGCATACGTCATATGTACAACTACCATGCGTCAGCAATTTGGTAATGTATCTCGATGTGTAGTCACACAGGCTAACCTCGAAACCATTCACAACATATTCTTGGTGGGAATTGCCCGAATCAACACATTTTGTAAGGGAAAAAGCAAAGCCGTCATCCAGGCACCTCGACGAGGCTAGGACAGGGCTTATGTCCAGGCTGCATGGCGACGTCGACGTTTTTTTCGTCGTCCTCGTCGTCGTCGTCGACGTCCTTGTCGTCGCAACCGTCGGTTTCGCCAAGTCGTCGTCATCGTCGTCGTCGTCGTCGACGTCGTTGACCTTCTCGCCATCTTCGTCGTCGTTGGCGTAGTTATCATCGCCTTTGGCGACGCTGGTGTCTTTATCGTCGAGCTCCCTCGCACAAAAGACAGGTTACGAACGCAAGTGTGCTTCTCCCAGCGTCCTCGGTACGTCGATGTTGCACTTGGCGTCGAGCAATTGCACCATCACACCGCAGCGGCCCTCCTGACGATGGGGATGGCGAGGAGAAGGACGAGGGCCCCTCTTCCTCATCTAATTCCTCCTGAGACAGCACATGTCAAAACACGTACGGCCTCATCCTCCTCCTTCTTCTCCTCCTCCTCCTGCTCCTCCTCCATCCTCCAACTCTCCCCGCCGTCCTCCTTCTCCTCCTCCTCATCCTCTTTTTGCTCGGCAGCCGCGTGCGCTTTACCGTGGCGGGGTCGACGAGGCGCTGCCGACGCGCGCGCCCGGTTGGCTAGGGCATACCCCGAAACAGCCTCACCTGCCAGCGGAAAACAACGCAGGGCGAGAAGGCGCTAGAAGATCTCAACCTCCTTCCTCCTCCTTCCTCCTCCTCCTCCTCCTCCTCCTCCCCCTCCTCCCTCTCCTCCTTCTCCTCCTCCTCCTCCGCCTCCTCCTCCTCTGTCAGAGGGTGAAGGTGAAGACTGGTCGCGGGCCGGGCCATCCTGACACCTTCCTGCTGACGGCTGCTGTCATCACCTTGCTCGAACCGTGTGCTGCGCCACCACTGGAAGAGTCGTTAAACAAGTACCTGACTGAATTTAAGCCTGGGTCGAAGGATGCTCAACACTTTATAGGCCTTTTCAGGACTGAGAACATGTCTGACAGTAAGAAGAAGAGGCTCATCATTTTTGTGCGTGACGCTCTCTTTGAGCGTACGATCGTGAGGGTGATCAAGGACTTTGAGAAGATGCAAGCTTTTGTGGGCCCGAGGCCCCCTGGCCATCTCAAGCTGGAGGGCCAGCGGGTGATCGAGGCCACTGAATGATCATGGTCGCTCGGGGCCCCTTTTCTTGCAGCACTACCTTCGTGAGGCGGTCCAGGGTTGTGCTGACTGAAACACTGGTTTAACTTATGAGCGGTAATTGTTGTTGCCCTGGGGCCGCACTGACCTGCCAATTGGCTTTGAAGGAGAGCTTCTGCAGTTCTTGAGTGGAACGACGGGCCCCTCCTGCTGGCGTGTCGCTCGTCCCTCCCCCTCCCCCCTCGCCTCTCCCGCCCTTCCGGGCCGTCGGCCTCTCCTTCCCCCCCCCTCGGGGGCTGCCCCCTGCTGTGGGCGTGGTGCGGCGTGTGGCGCCATTGCGTCCGCGTGCGGACGCTGGGCGCACGCGCCCTGCTGCCGCCGTGGCTCGGCTCGGCGCCTCTGCTCCCTCGCCCTCCTCCTGGGCCGCTGCTGCTTGCCGCGCGGGCCGTCCAGCTCCCCTGCGCCTCCTCTCTCCGCCGCCGGGTGAGGAACCTCATCGGCACGGGCTGTGGCCTGGCCCTCCCCCGGTGCACGCACAGGGATGCCGCTAGTGCCGCCCGTGTGGAATGCGGTGCCGAGCATCCCGATGCGGGGGGCCCCTCCCGACCCTCCCCAGTCCGACCGCCATTGGACTCTTGTGCAGCGCCGCCGCCGCCTCCCCTTTTCCCGACGCTGGGCAAACGTGAGCTACCCACACCCAGCACTGGCTGGGAGGAGGGGTATCGAGGGCATTGGGGCGATCGCTCGACACGGTCCGCAGCTCGAAGCTCGGAGGAGAGCACAGACGCGAATGGGTATGGTGTTTGCTGGATCCTGGAACCCGGGGCTCTCCCCAGGATCGGCCCCGTGGGAGCCCGAGGACGGCGAGAAACCTGAGGAGCCATGCTCTTCCATGTGAGGAGGAGGAGGAGGAGGAAGGGGAGGAGGAGGAGGAGGAGGAGGAGGAGGAGGAGGAGGAGGAGGAGGATGAGGAGGAGGAGGAGGAGGAGGAGGGGGAGGAGGTAGAGGGAGGAGGAGGAGGAGGAGGAGTGAGGAGAGGGGGAGGAGCAGGAGGAGGGGGACTGATGGAAGTGGGGTTGGTAAGGAGTGTGAGGAGGGGGGGGAGGTGGAGGGGGAGGAGGAGGAGTAAGGAGGAGGGAGGAGGAAGGAGAGGAGGAGGAGGAGGGAGGGGAGGAGGAGGAGGAGGAAGAGGAGGAGGAGGTGGAGGTGGAGGAGGGATTGAGGAGGAGGAGGAGGAGGAAGTGCCTTGGCCACCACGTCATCGTCCTCGGCCTCGTCCTCCTCGTCCTCCTCTTCCTCCTCCCTCTCCCTGCTGCGCCGCCCACCAGGGGCCACGCACGCGACGGCCTGTTCTATGGCCCAGCGGGCGCCTCCTGCCATCCCTCTCTGTGTGCCTCCTCCTCCTCCTCCTCCTATCTCCTTCCTCTGCTCATAACGCACCGCCTCCTGCCATCCTCCTCATCCTTCTACTCTACTCCTACTTCCTCCTCCTCTCCATAAGTCATCTCCTTGCCTACCTCCTTCCCCCTCATCCTCTCTCCTTCCTCACTAACCTCCTCCTCCTCCTCCTCCTCCTCCTCGTCCTTCTCACTCCTCCTCCTTCCTCCTCCTCCTCCTCCTCCTCCTTGGTCTCCGCGGGTCTCGGGGGCCCTCCTGAGCTCTTCCAGAGCCCTCCCAGCCCCCCCCCATACAATTTGTCTTGTGCCGCTTTCGCTCTGCTCGCGGAGCTGGCGCGGACCTCATCCCAGCGAGAGTTTCGAGCGAACGCGTCGGCACGGCCCCTCGTTCGCAGGATGTTCCCCGCGTTTTTGGTGCGAGCACGGTTCTGCCCATAGCGAGAGCCCTCTGGGTTTCCTGCAACTGCTCCTGGCGTCTCTCCTCGGATCCACCGCGTCGCAGCAAAACGAGCGGCTGTGCTTTCTCCACGTTCTTGGACTCCTGGAGGTCCTGGAGGCCGTGTGCAGGCCCCAGGACCGTCAAGCAACTAGCCAGGATGACAGTCTGACCCCTGGTACGAGGTCGAGATCCTCGGGTGCCCGCGTCGCGAAGAACCAGATACGTTGGAGGAGGGGAGGGCAGAAGACCCCCACCCCTCCGGGTTTCTTGCAGTCGCTCCTGGCGTCCCCTGATGACCCGTGGAAACAAATCGGAGCAGCATAACATTCGATGAGGTCCCTTTGGCCTTCCTAGTGCATCCTGGGATATCTTCTGGGGTTCCCCTTAGCTTTTCTGGGGACCTCCCTTGGGTTTCTTGCGGCTCTTCCTGGCCTTTCCGGGACACTTTCGGAAACCCATCGGGACTTCAGGAATGCCTGCTGGCGTCATGCTAGCACCTCTGCAGCCCCCCCTTCTGCAGGCCGATGCTCTTAAACACCGCCGTCGCAACATGGCGTTTCGATATCTTCCGCTGTCAGAACACGTGGAACAACAACTACACGGTCAACCCGTGTAATCAGGACGCGCGGTAAGGATGCAAGGGCCTTGGACGCCCTTGCCCAGGCTCTTCGAGCGGGGCTGGCCATCGAAAGTGGTTGAGGATAGGCTGGAGATGATCCAAGAGGCGAGGATGTAAGGGTACACTTTGGAAATCGATCATCCTTACAATGCGGGTTGACTATATTGTGTTCCCCCGTGGGTTTGTTCGGAGCCGCCCCAAACCCGAGGGCTTTCAATATGTTTTGTCTTTGGAGGCGGCCAGGGGGTCTATCTGGATGAACCTCGAGATCATCGGTCAAGACGGGGGGATACGGGCAAACCTGCTCAAAATCGGTCCCCAAATCCCTCCCGGGGTCCACCTGGTACAATTTTTCACCCAGGATCAATTTTTGACGGTCCCGGGGCCCGACCAGGGGCCCTGGAAACCGAAAAAGGCAACACAATTCCCTCGAAACCAGAGCCTCGAACCTCTCCCCCCCCCTTTCTGCTGGCCATAACCAATGCTGGGCCTCCTCAGACCCCCAGCCGGCTCCAAGGCTTGTTCGGAGCTGCGCGCAACCCGAAGGTTCTCAATGTGCTGCCTGCTCCGGCTGCAAGCAAGGGTGCCCTCAGGCAGGAGGTGACCTTTGGTACGCGGCTTTCGGGCGGCGCGAGGAGGCCAAACCCGAGCGAGCAAAGCGCAGCTATTCGCATCGCATTCCGCCATCTGGGTCGCTCTTGCGTGTATCGGGGATCTGCTGACCCAGGTCAAACGAGACCCGGTTCATTCAAGCCTTGCAAGATCCTGCCAAATCCTGCAGGATCCTGCAGGATCCTGCACCCAAGCCCGGGTCAGTGCACCCCTGGCCCTGCAGGATCCTGCAAGATCTGGCGCTCTGACTGACCCTGGAGGAGGAGGAGGAGGAGGAGGAGGAGGAGGAGGAGGAGGAGGAGGAGGAGGAGGGGGAGGAGGAGGAGGAGGAGGAGGGGGAGAGCGGAGGAGGAGGAGGAGTAGGAGGGGAGGAGGAGGAGGATGAGGAAGGAGAGAGGGAAGGAGGAGGAGAGGAGTGGAGGAGGAGGAGGAGGATGGACCCTCGGTCTCTCGAGCCCCGAGCGCAGTCGACTCCTTCGCCGCCGACTCCGCCCGTGCGCCCCGCCAGCTCCGCGGAGCCTCGGCAGGCCGCGGGCGCGGGCGCCGGCGCCCAGCGGACGCCCCCGCGGCTCGGGGGCGCACCGGCGGCCGAGTGCCTCCTGCAGTCTTGTGCACGCCCGAAGTGGGCACGGAGTGATCGGCCAGGAGGAGGAGGCCTCGCGGCTCAAGAGGCCCGTCCAGGGGCCGAGGCGAGAACTTGGGCCGGGGCACAGCGGCAAACACTCGACGAAGCGGGCCCGACGCGCCGCCAACTCGAGCTGAATGCGAGCTGAGCGCAGTGCTGTGCGGTCTGTTGCTGAGCCAGGGAGGAATCGGGGAGACGTAAGACTCGGGTTGGCCCGACAGGGCCAACATGAGAATGACGAGGCCCAGTCTGCGATTTGACGCGAGGTCCCACTGCGAGCATCCCACCAAAACTGGACCGTCAAGATCCAGGACACGCTCGTCAAAAAGCGTCGGCAAGCCCGAATTCCGGCGTACTCGAGTCTTATGCTTCCCCGAAGACAGTAGGCACAATGCCCAGCAGCAGGTGCTGTCCACAATCGGCAGCGGCCGCTGTTGGGCAGGCGACTGTCCGTCTCAAGCGCGCAGCGTCCGCAGCGACACCAGCAGCGAATCCGACTCAACATAGGCAGGAACTGCTCTCGGTCTCCGTACCCGTTCTCTCCGTACCGATGTCTTGGCGGCGCGCGCCAAGGGGGGTACGGGGAGGGGGGCAGGCTCCTTAGAAGGCGGCGGCTTCTTAGAAGGCGCGGGCCTCACCTCTGCAGACAGGGCCCGCGCCTTCCCAGAAGCAGGGGGTGCTTCTAAGAAGCCCTCCCTCCCCTCTCCCCCCTGCCCCCCTTTTGTGCGCGTGGCCGAAGACCGCCTCGGCTCGGAGTGTGCGTCGAGCTGGGCCGCCTCGACCCGGAATCGGCACGGAAGCGGCCGCGCCGGAACCGCCCGTCGAAGGGGCCGCGCATCGGCTGCGCATCGGCTGCACAGCAGCGCCGCATTCCGACCGCACCGATCCGTCGGCCGGGGGCGCCCGCGCCGGGAGGGCCTGCAGCGCCGGCGCCCGGCGCTGGCCCCCCGTGGCGCTGCCGTGCGCCCCCGGCGCATGGGGGGCACGGGCGCCGCGCGGCTCGCGGACGTCGCCCCGGAGGTCTGCGGGCGCTCACGGCACGGGCGGGCAGGAGGTCTGCGGCCCCAGAGGTCTGCGGGCACGGGCGCTGCGCGGCTCACGGACGTCGCCCCAGAGGCTCCAACGCCGGCGCCCGGCGCTGGCCCCCCTGGCGCTGCCGTGCGCCCCCGGCGCTTGGGGGCATGGGCGCTGCGCGGCTCGCGGACGTCGCCCCGGGAGGCCTGCGGGCCACAGCTCTGTTTTTTTTTTTTTTGAGGGGGAGGAGGAGGGATCCGCTGCCCTTCCAGAGGGCCATCTATCCGGGAGGCACGCCACAGCAAAAACAACAGCGCTGCGGTGAGCATCGAAGCTGGGAACCGCCTCGTACAGGCGGGCGGGACTTCTTGGCTCAGCGCGCCGAGAAGTCCCACAAGTCTCGGGGGCGTGCGAGCATGGATTGGCGATCGATGGCTTTGGCGCGCGGTCGCCGAATCCATGGGTCGGGGGAGGTGCCCTCTCCAGAATGCGGCGCCGGTGCGGCCTCGTTCGGCGGCGGAAATCCTCGATTTCCAACGCGAACGGGGCCCGTCGCTGATCCACGCCCCCTTGATCCATGTTTGCGATCGCCTGAAGCTCGGCTCTTCAGCGCGGCCGCTCGGGGCGATTCTCGGGCCCCCCCTCTGGACACCTTCGGCGAGGCGCGGCCGCTGGAGTGGACCCCGAGGCCGGGAGGCCGGGGAGAGCAAGCGAGGAGCCTGCCCGAAGCTTCGAGCTTCCCTGCGGAGGCCGGCGGCTCTCTGGCGGGGGGCGCTCCTGGGACGCCACGTACAGCGCAGTGGCGCCGTCGGCCGGCCGGGCGCGGTGGATGTCGCACCGGGCCCAGATCAGCCGCCGCACCACCTGCGCGGGGGGGCGCCCTCCTCGCGGATCGGGGCTCCCCAGTGCCCCTCGCCACCAGGGTCGAGGGTCGGGGATCGGGGATCGAGGATCGAGGATCGAGGGTCGGGGATCGGGGATCGAGGCTCGTGGATCGTGGATCGAGGATCGAGGGTCGGGGATCAAGGGTTGGGGGTCGGGGTCGAGGATCGGAATCGGGGTCGAGGTCGAGGATGGGGATCGAGGATCCCTCGCCACCAGGGTCGAGGGTCGAGTGTCGGGGATCGAGGGTCGACGGCAAACTTATCGAAATTTTGTGCCTCGGGCCCTGGGGGCATCTCAAGAGGCAGGTCCGGCCGCACCACCTGCGCGGTGGGGGACCCTCTTGAGGCTCGAGGGCGCCAATTTTCGGCCTCTGGGGGCCCCTCCTGGCCTGCGAGAGAGCGAGCAAATGCTCGTGAGGGAGGGGGGGAGGCTCTCGGTTCTCTCCTGGCTCCCTCCTCCCTCCTCACTCCCACTCTCTCCCTGCTCCCGTCTCCTCCTCCTCCTCCTCCTCCGCCTCCTCCAACTCCTCCTCCTCCTCCTCCTCCTCCTCCTCCTCCTCCTCCTCCTCCTCCTCCCTCCTCCTCCTCCTGCTGCTGCTGCTGCTCCTCCTCCTCCTCCTCCTCCTCCTCCTCCTCCTCCTCCAATCCTCCTCCTCCTCCTCCTCCTCCCCTCCTCCTCCTCCTCCTCCTCCCTCCTCCTCCTCACTCACCCGCGAAGAGAAGAAACGGGACGATCCCATAGCAAGCACCAGTTCTGTCGTGTGAATGTGGCCCAAGCTCTGCCTCCTCCTCCTCTCCTCCTCCTCCTCCTCCTCCTCCCCCTTACTCCTCCCCTTCCTTCTCCTCCTCTTCCTCCTCCTCCTCCTCCTCCTTCTCCCTCCTCCCGCGAAGAAAAGAAGCGGGAAGTGGTCGGCAGCTCCGTGGTGGCCGCGTGCGGGCAGACAAGCGCGACCTCGCATCGAGGTCTGGGGGGTCACCCTCTCGAGGGCCGAGGATCACATTTTTTTTGTGTCTGGGCCGTCCCCTGGAGACCCTGCGGAAGCCCCTGGAGACCCCCCCCTCTTGTTCTCTCGGCGGGGAGTGGGGCTGGTCCTAAACACGTCTCCTCCTCCTCCTCCGCCTCCTCCTCCTCCTCCTTCTTCTCCTCCTCCTCTTCTCCTCACTCCCCCTCCTCCTCCTCTTTCTCCCCCTCCTCCTCCCCCTCCTCCTCCTCCTCATTATCCTCCTCCCTTCTCCTCCTCTTTCTCCTCCTCCTCCTCCTCCTCCTCAGACGCACGTTTTTATCTAACCCACTCGCCCCGAAATTCAATGTTGGTCGACGCGCGCAGCGAGGCCCGCATGGTCCGAAGCAGAACAATACGTGCAGTCGCCAGCTTTGGCCCGAACGTTGAAATTTGGGGTCCAGGAGCGCCGCCACGTCGCAGGAAACATATTTGCGTCTGATTTCGAGGAGGGATGCAACATACTTCTGGCCAGAGAGCGGATGTCCATGGACTTCAGATGCAAGCGTCGCGACAAAATCGTGATGTGCGCTGTTTGCCCGTTACGGGCACTGTGACCGTTGCGGATCGGCCCTCGCATGCAGGTGGGGTCTGGAGTTCTGGACGTGATTTGTCAGAACGTTGAGTTCCTTGACGACGAGAAGTCTTTTCGACGAGAATGCAGGGGCGGCCAACATGATTAATCCCCCAGCCAAGCAGCAGGTTTGTCGTGTGAACGTCGCCCAAACGCTGCCTCATCCTCCTCCTCCTCCTCATCACCCTCCTCCTCCTCCTCCTCTTCTTCTTCCTCCGGATTCTAGTATCCAGTGTAGAACGAGAAAGCCTTGTCTTGGCCTGCACTCGACTGCTCCGCAGGTTCTGGAAGCAGGTAGAGCTTTCGGAACTGAAGGGCCATCACATCGCAACTTGCTTAACCAAAATCATTCGGCGGAACCATGGGCAGGGGAGGTGGAGCAAGAGTGGGAGTGGTGCAAGAGGTGGAGAAGGTGATGGAGGAGGAAGAGGCACGTCCCCAAGGAGAATGCGATGGAGGAAGAGGAGGTGAGGAGGGCGTGGAGGTGGATGTACAGCCGCCTGCAGGAGAAACATGATGTATGCTGATGATGACGATGATGCTGGTGATTATGAGGATGATGCTGATGATGGTGCTGATGATGATGGTAATGATGATGCTGATGATGCTGATGCTCATGCTGCTGATGATGAAGATGATGCGGATAATGATGCTGATGCTGATGATGCTGATGATGATAATAATGATTATGCTGATGATGCTGATGATGATGATGCTGCTGATAGTGACGATGATGCTGTTGGTGGTGATGCTGATGAAGGTGATGGTGATGCTGCTGCTCCTGCTGCTGCTGATGATGAGGATGATGCTGAGATTGAGCTCAGGAAAGCGAGGAGGAAAACAAGGAGACCTCCCACCAGAACAGGCGGGCAAGGGCGCGAGGTGAAGATGGACGCCCCGAGGGGATGTGAACCTATAGAGAGAGAGAGAGAGAGAGAGAGAGAGAGAGAGAGAGAAAAAGCCTCCGCACACGTCGGATACTGCCTTCCACGAGCCTGAAAGAGAAGGTGGGGAAGGAAGAGCGCCCAGCGCGCCTCGTCATGCCCGTCCTGTGCGGCGATGTAGAGCGGCGAGGTGCCGGTGTCGGACTTCGCCTTCTCGACGTCCGCGCGCGCGCTGGGAACGCGCGCGTTGAACTCCGCAGGCTGGAGTGGGGAAGCAGAGACAAGTAGCGGAGCGAGCGGGGGGCTCTGGACCCTTGGAAGGGCAGGGCAAGAGAGGATGCGGAGTCAGCGCCGATACGAGAGGAGCAGCGCTGAGACGAGAAGCGCACTCTGCAAATCGATGGCGCTGTCCTTATCAAAGAAGACAGCGTCGCAACATGGCCGTTCTGCGCCGCAATCCACAGAGGGGACGCGCCCACGTCGGTTCGGGCCAAGTTCAAATTGGCCTTCACGCTGACCAGAGCATCCACGACCTGCCCAACTTCAACTTCCATTTTCCGCTCCCTCCGCTCCATGAAATACTGCCTGCTCAACTGTCCTCCTTCCCTCTTCCTTCCCCCTGGCATTTCCTCACTGGTGCGGCTACTACTGCTGCTGCTCCTGCTGCTACTCCCCCAAACACTGGCCCCGACCTGTCCTGGAACGCGCTTCGACCAAGACTCCGATGCGGATCCTGCCGTGGCGACGAGGGCCACCAGAGAGGCCCGCAAAAGATAACACTCCGAAGGATTGTTAGCACTCTTATTTTCCCCCCTGCGGCATTTTTCCTCAATCACGGCCTCTGGGGCCCGCTGTCGGGCCCCAGGGCAAATACACATCGATCCGGGATGAAACTGCCTCCGGGGAAGGAGTCAGGAAATCTGGGGCAGCGGATTGCAACAACAACCTTTCCCCGCAGTCCTGCAAGACCCCGCACACACATGCTTATAGTTTACATGTTTGTGTAAACATATATACACACACTATATGTGTATGTGTACATTCTAGTATGCCTTTGTGTACTGCAATATATTCGAGTACATCTCGTTACACGGTATTATATATTGTACTATGCTTTATAGGAGCATGTTATAGCCTATGATGCCATCTGGCATGTTGTTTTTCACGATAATTTGTAATATGGGATACACTGCATAACAAGTAAATATATATATTCTATAATCTAACACGATATTGCATTCTCTTATACGCTTTCGTAGTCTAATTTACTTTCTTATCATTAGTTACATTCTATTCCATGACACATTATTAAATTCTAAGGTGTTGTTGTATCTCATAGTAAGTATATGATGTTACCTTGTAGTACGGTGTATTGTATTGTACCATATTGTTATATATTATTTTTATGCCACCCGATCTTTTTTTATATGATCTGAACTGGTAATATACCATTTATGTATCGTATTCCATTCGGGTATACTATGTTATCGTATGCTATGCCATATTGCTTTCTATGCTATTATATCATATCCAATGTGTTCAGAACAAGACAATACTATTATGCCAACTTATATGTTCTAGTGTACTCTAAGTCGGCATCGTATGTCATCTAGTCTAATACCATAATGCATTGACTTGTAGTATATCATGTTCTCGTATCTACAATTCAATATGCACACCCGCCGACCCCCATTTGCAAGTGGTGCAGAGGCGTGTGATATGATTGGCCATGCCCCTCCCCCTTTCCCCCTCCCCTGGGACCGTGAATCCGATTAGAGGGTGGGGGGGCTGGGGGGGGGTCTCCGAGCTCATCAGCGCTCCCCTGGGGCCCCTGGAGCTCCCATTTCTATAACCAGTGGCCTCCAAGATGCCTAAGAATCGATCTACGCTTGCCCAAACAAAGTTCCAACACGCACAGGAGTCCTCGAGCACGAACAAGATAGCCTTAGACTGCCCAAGAAGCCTCAAAAACGCCCCAACATGGCTCTAAGACGATCCCCGAGAGGGCCCCAAGAAGCAAGGATCGTCCAAATCTTGTGGGAAACGTATAACTTGAATAGATTCACATTTTTGGTTTCAGCCGCGTCCAAGACGGCTCAAGAGGCCCCAATGATCGCTCCAAGACTGCCCAAGAAGCCCCCAAGAGGGCCCCAAGATGGCCGAAGTGGGTCTAAAGGCGGCTCAAGAGGCGCCCAAGATGGCCCAAGGCAGCCCTAACAGGGCTCCAAGAGGGGCCCAAGAGGTAACTCGAACTGACATTCCGAACCCTCCGCCCCAACACGACCCCCGAGACCGCCAACAGGCGCCAAGAAACTCCAAAGAGGCCCCCAAGAGGCCAAAAGAGGCCCCCAGAGGGGGCCCCCAAGAGGCCTCCCAAGGCCTCACCCATTGACTTAATTTCTCTTCTGGGTGTCGGCGGAATGGCATGAGCCTCTTGACTATTTAAACATCAATTACTTATATAAGTATATCTACACGTATACGAATGGAAATATGCATATACATGTGAACACCCTGCGGAAATCTCGACACCTTCCTCAGGACTGGCTTTGCATCCTGACTCTAAAGTTGTGCGGCCCAGCAAGGGCTCCTAAGACCCAATATTCATCAATTCCGTCATATTGTTGTACCTCCCTGACGCAAGCGGGTTATGGTTCTCTCGAATTGTGGACTATTCTCTCCCCTCCTCCACCTCCACCTACCCCTCCCCCTCCTCCCCCTCCTCCTCCTCCTCCGCCTCCTCCTCCTTTTTGACGCTGCGCAAACTAGCCTGGAGCGTTACTCTCCTCCTCCTCCTCCTCCTCCTCC